TTTCTTTCTTTCTTTCTTTCTTTCTTTCTTTCTTTCTTTCTTTCTTTCTTTCTTTCTTTCTTTCTTTCTTTCTTTCTTTCCTCTCTCTCTCTCTCTCCCTCTTCTCCTTTCTCTCCCCCCCCAAAATAGTGCAAACATCTTGAACCCTTCCTATATATCACAGCAGCTCCACAGAAAAGAAAAGGATAATTTTCATAATTGTATTAAAAAATCAGACATACTGATCCAGAACAGGTGGTCTGGGAAAAAATATTGAGGTTCAGTTCTCAAGATCCACATTTACACTCTATGGTTATATCAACATTTCATGCAGGAATTCAGAATTTTCTGGAAACTGTTAATAGCTGAAGGTACAGAGTTGGCCCTGACTTGTGTTATATCCCTGCCATCATGAAGCTCAGTATCTCTTAAAGTAATCACACCCTTAGGTTGAAATGGAATGTAACTATCGTGTTTTATTGTTTTGAAGTCTATAGTGGGAAGAAAAGGGTATAAGTAGAACTGGAAAGATATATGCTGGATGGTTTCCTTACATTTAAAACACAACAAATTTAACATACATTTAAAACACAAGAAATTTAACATCTACAGTCATCCTCAGACAAGATAAGAAAAACAGGAAAGGCTTGACTGGCCTAACTAATTTAATCATATAACCTTTATAAAGAGGAAAAAAAGCCAGACGTATACAGTACCAACAGCAACCCAAAATATTTTAGTTGTACTGGTAAAGACCAGATGACATCTATTGGTTCAGGGATGAAAGAAAACCTGACCTTTTCAGAAAGAGAGTGGCCCCTGTTCAAGCAACTGTGCATGCAGCATAAGGCCTACTGAGACTACGATTCCCCAGAAAATCATGCATTGGCTTTCCTTCACAGAACAGAACCCTGTTTTTATCCATAGCTGTTTCTGCTGCTATATCTCAGAAATCTTGTTAAATCTAAGAATAGCCTAAGTGAATGAGTTAAATCAAGATGCCTTGACTGTTTCTATGAAAGTGTATATGCTTTGATCATTCTGGATTCAAATACTGGTACTGCCTTCCCCAACCTAGAAGCTCTCCAGATGTAGATTTTTAGACTTTTATTCTAGGAATTCTCACCAATGGTTATGCTGGCTGGGGGATTCTGGGAGTTGAAGTTTGCATATGAAGCAGGCATCCAAATTAGGGAAGGCTGCCCAAGCATCTCCAGACAACTGCTGCTAATCAGCAGAGATTAAAAATTCCAGATGGATCAAGGTTGCACTTAGTCCAAAGCTGTCCCTATGCTTCTATAACCATTCAGAATATCTGGACAATTAAAAACAATAATATACTTATTATATTGATTACTTTTATGTCTTTCTGGTCCTTCAAAAAGCTTGGTGTGATAATGAATTTCCAAGAATTTTTAGTCAAGGCACTGTATTATGGACAGATTGGCTTAGCTTTTACCCCAAAATCTGCCTTATCTTTTTTTTTTTTATCCATTGTTGGTAAGATCAACATTTGTAATTTCAGATTGTAATTATATTCATAATTAGTATTTCCTTCAGGTTGTGTTTTTTCATCAGAAGCACATCTTTATTTAATCCTTCACAGAGAAAAAGAAACGTTGAAAGGGCCCATTTTTAATAGGAAATGAGTTCGTACTTCTGTTTTACTTGTTAGATTTTTTTAAAAAGACAGATATCTCTATATCACAGCTAAAGTGCAAATTAAAAAAAAAACTACAAGAATCTGTTCCACTTTTTATTTTAAGAAATGGGTGCCTGCTGCTTTTGCTTAGAATCAGGATTGCAATAATTATTTATCTGGGTTCCTTTTTATTGTGATTCAAGGCTCAAATCTGAAACATATGTTTACCAAATAAGATCCAAGGACTCTAAAGTGGCTAACTTATCTAGGAATTACAGTATGGATTGCATTTCTTACTGAAATGTAGCAGCAGCAGCAGACAATCTGATGCTACCCAGAAATTTGAACTTCTCATCAGGTGCAGCTCCAAAGACTGTGGAAGTTGCACCTGGACAGTAGCAATTTGCCTATCCCTAGTATAGTACAATTATTTGCCTATCCCTAGTATAGTACAAGTATTAATTAATTATTAATTGTAATATATAATTTATCTTGATTTAAAGGTTTATGGAAAATTGACTGTGTTAGTCTGCTGCAGCAAAGTCAACCAAACCTCTTATAGTATTTCAGCAAGAATGTTTGATTCTAAGTACTTTCATCCTAAATACAACTATTTGCCATCCCCGGTGATTCCAATAGAATTTACTTTTAAATATTTTTTCCCAAATGATAGGCTCTACACTTATGTATATGTATTCAGCTGATACTGGAATTTGCAGGCATGGAACAGCTAATACACAGCAAAGGAGATGTTTCATATGATCCAGCATCCATTAATAGATCATTGTTTCCAGTGGAGCTACTATACACTCTACCAATATTCTTTAAGTATTATGTGACTTAATTGTATGAATTCATTTCTGAAAATAAACTCAGGTTAAATGATCTTCAGGAGAAATTACTACTCTGAAAAGGAAACTTTGCAAAATCAAAGCAACAATAATTGCTAGGGGGAGTATTTTCTTAGAGCAAATGCTATCAAATTGTTGTACACACATCATCATTTGGGTTCAAGGCACGTTGTAGGTGAAACTGAAGCAAAGTAACTGCTTTCTTTGCTGGGAGCCATGAACGAATACAAAAAAAGAAAAAAGTAGTTTGGATTTTACTATCGCCTTAAAGCATCCAACACAACCTTACTTAAACTAAGCATCTCTGGTTTTGATCAGTGTCTGGAGGGGAATCTCCCCTTGGAATACCGTTTTATGCAATCCTATTAATAATAATGGTGGCAGGAAACATCCTTGTTCATTTCTAGTCTGGGATTGACAGTTTGCATGCTAAGCATAAGTTGGGCTATAGTTTGGGAATAAACAAAAAATTGGATTCTTGTTACATATAACTCTTCCTGGAAGTTAATGCCATTGAATAGTGTTTGCCTTTGGCTAAAATACTGTTTTCTTCTGGTTTATAAAAACAGTATTTTAAAAATGTTTTTTTTTTAATTTAAATAGTAATTTTAGAAAATTAGGAGAGTTTTATATCTAGAGGAGCTCACATTTATTATTTTCCAATGAAATGAATAAAGTAAGTTTAACAAGTAAAATATTGGGTTTACAATGATTTTTTGTTGCAGTTATAGTTAATTTCTCTCTCTTTGTATTCTGTTTGATTACCTAGTCTTCCCACTACCTCAACAATCTCTTCCATGTGAACCATTTTCCGTTCCCATTAAATGAAACGGAATTTTAAATAATTTTGAGTCCATTGCTTGATGCAATGCTTATTATCAAGAAACGTCTACCTGATTCTCTCTAAAAACATTAATAAGGACGTGCAGATATTTAAAAGCAACCTGTTGATGCCCTGCTAAGTCTCTAAAAATGACTCTTTATTCACCAAATTAATGCTCCAGGGAACTCACCTACCTCTTACCTTTGGATGCCTGGAAGGGATATGAAGAAGCAGGAAAGGCAGCACCGTTTCTCTTCCTTTGGCAACTTCTGGAACCCTTGAGAATCCTAAAACAACTGCCTTCTAGTCTTCTTACACAGCCTCATATATAGTGTTCAGCTCCAGTAAGCACTTATGAGACTGCATCATTGCTGACAGTTTACTTACTCAATTTGAAAAAAAAAAACAACAAATGAACAAATCCTGTTGTTTGCCGTTCGACAATTTTTTACAACTGATTTCACACATTTATTCTATTTACTTTGACATCAGTGTTGACATAGGCCCTACTGTTAGAACAAAGGCAACCAAAGCTCACTGTCAAAAGAATTATCTGTCCTAGTGATATCGGAGTGATCCGTTGTGGAAGTCAAGTATCCAAGGAACAAAGTACTACTTACTGTTGCTTTTAAAATAAAGCCTATTTAAATATACTGTTCATTTCACCATATCAGTTCTAGAGGTACAATCCTGCCCCAATTTGGCTTTTAACAAGAGTTGTAATGGTGCTCATGATCCCGTGGTAGAACTTTGATATATTGAACCTTGGCTAGATTGGGGGACTAGCGGTCCTAAAAATGTAAGGACAATCCTGGCAGCTTCAGGAAGCAGGACCAATGGTGAAGGACTCTGGAGTTGCCCTTCACTGACAACAGATTGCCCCTCTCCATCCATCTGGGCTACATCATGGATTTGATTTTTAGCATTAAACATTAGTTGGGTTTCAAAGTACACATTCTCAGCTAAATTCTGAGTGAATTTCTTCATATTTGAAGTGAGAAGACTGCTAAATAGCACTTTAATCGAGTGAGCCTATTCATGCTTGGTTCAGAACAGTTCTTTTATATTTAATATTCAGGAAAGTGAGAGCAACAACTATAACCACATTTTCAATTCTTCATGATTTATGATGATTTCTCTCTGTCCCTTTCATATTCTCTCTTCCTTTACCAGGTACATTCATGGATATGTGCCATATAACAGCTGCATATCCCACTGAATCAGCCCAAGCCCCAGAAGTTGCTCCATCTTGTATCAACTTTACAACGTGCACATTCATGTACCAAGATGGCAAATAGTTACATAGGAGATTGTTGCATTCTTTTGCCCTATCTCCACATGACCTGCTTTTTTCCACCTACGCTTCAACAACCATCCAAACCTAATGGCACAGAAGTCCAAACGGCAAAATCAGCAGCATATTTGAGTCTTAAGATTGAAACTGGAAGATACTTCCTGTTCTTTGGGCCTCTTTGTAATAACCAATCTTCAACATTCACATCTTTCATAATGATCAAATGAGCAAACTTCTCATATATTGCAAAGCTGCTTATCTAATTCCAGGGGCAAGACAAATATCAACAGGGAGAACAGGAAGTCAGTGATTGCAGTTTAGCAGCCTAAAGGAAGCTATTAAATGCGATTCTTGAATTTACAACTTTTGGAAATGTGACGATGTCTATTAGCTGGCTGTAACGTCAATGCTTTTTCCCCCTAAAAATAGTCCTTTTAATAATTATGTAAGACTATATAGCACTATTTGCTCTTGCAGTCCTAGACTATGTGGACAGCAATGATCCATGAAATGACGACATTGATAGATCCAAAGATCTATTTTATAGGCTGCACTCCACCAGATAGATTATTTGTCAAAATGATTTAGCTTACTTTTCCCATATTTTAAAATATTCCTTTCCCCATGCCTATTTAAGGGAAGGTTTCCATAATTGGGGGGGGGGGAATGCTGTGAAAAATCTATTTTTTTTACTTCACTGTCCAAACCCTGGATCCTCAATATGCACTCACAAATGTCTCCTCTGGTAACTGCCAGGTACCATATCCCAATTATTTTATTTTATTTATTTATTATTTATTTTAAATTACAAAAAAATTAAATGGGAAGCTAGCATGTGGGAAAAAAAAAAAAAAGTCAAAATTTCAAGCATGATTTTTTATTTCACTGTCCAAACCCTGGATCCTCAATATGCACTCACAAATGTCTCCTCTGGTAACTGCCAGGTTCCATATCCCAATTATTTTATTTTATTTATTTATTATTTATTTTAAATTACAAAAAAATTAAATGGGAAGCTAGCATGTGGCAAAAAAAAAAAAAAGTCAAAATTTCAAGCATGATTTTTTATTTGAAGTACTATTTTTGCATATATTCCAGTGGTATTTTCAGAAAATAAACATGATAGTTGCGGTCCAGTGTTTTATTTGGAGGTGTTCCTACCAGTCCCCCGAAAGGGGATATGCTGGAGTGATAGAGGACATCTTGAAAGTTTACAGAGGAGAAACTTCACCAGTTTGCCTTCCAGTAAGTGTTTGAGGATTGGTTATGCCCATAATAGTAGCCAACTTTGTGGGAATGCGCATAATATACTCTCAGGATTCTAGATGTGCCCACTGGAATACCACTGGAATATATGCAAAAATATATTTTTATGGGCTCAGAAAGATTGGAGATCAATCTGTCATCCAGACAATGGCTGACTGTCACAAGAATGGAAAGCAATTCCTAGTGCACTTCACTTGGTTCATATGGGAAGAAATTGTCTGAAAAATGAATTTTGCAGGCTGTGGAAGAGTTCATATGTTAAAAACATCATTTTGAATTGGGCCCAGAAGCTTAACTTCACAATATACACATGAAGTAGGTGGCAATGTACCTGGCATAAAATGAATTGAAGTGTACATATATCCCAGGATCAATGAGGACATATGTAACAATATGTTGTTATAATGGAGCATACAAGACTTTGGGGCATAAGTCCAGGAGTCTGTGTAGCAGAATCAGCAGGAAGTTCCCCAAATGCAGCAGACCTGGCTTAGCACATGCTAAAAAGCGACCACTGAAACAAGGACCACATTTAGTAAGACTATTAAGTCTGAATGAATAAATCCTATGATACAATTATGTCCATAGTCTAAAGTTATCAAATTGGAACATTGGTGACCAGCACAAATTGAAGTTTCTAATTCATCTTCCTGAGAAGACCCAGAAAAAAATACACTGTAGTGATCAAATCTAGCAGAAATCAAATTCAAAAGTTTGAGTCAGCATTGCAAGATCTGACCTCAAAACTGCCTTATGAACTGAAAAGATACTTCGAAGAGATAATCCAATTCCAGCCTGCTTCTCAAGCAGGGTCCATGTCTGGATCAATGAATAGCCTCATGATCTCCTGCTTCAATGGGATCAAAGACACTCTAGTCAAAGGCAGCTGATTGTCTTCAGGCAGAGATATGTTGTACCAACATTTGTCATGGTTCGTCCTAAATTTAATATCTTTTGAACACTCAATTATGGTACCCAAACACTAATTCAGGACACTAGAAGTGACTTCTCTCACTGAGGACAGCTATATATAAAAAATAATATTCATTAAAGCAAGGGTATGATTGACAAAAAGTACAGATAATTTGTTAGCAGATACACATATACACACACATGTGCACCTACTGAATCAGCATTGATTCAAAACATTTTGTTACTTGATAAGGAAAGGATAATGCCATCACCCATTATAGGCAGAGAAGCTGACTAGACTTTAAGGCATATCATGCATCATAGTTTTCTGCTGTACTTGGTTACAGCAAGTCATCTTTGAGGGTGTAGGACAGGTAATGCAGAACACATTGCTCATTGGCACTTCCTACCCACTGGCATCTGCTGCCTGAGGTGGCTTCCTCCTTCCTCCTTCCTAGTGAGAACACTTAGCCTTGTAAATTCCAGCCTAAACACTCTGAAGAAGTTTTCAAAATTTCTTCTATGATTGTCTGGCTCACTAGTCAGCTACTAGAAAAACAAAAGATCCACTTAGGGATTAAAAATATTTTTTCAATGTTAGGGTAAAGTACCCCCCCTCCCCTAATGCAGTCACCATACATTTGCTTATTTTTTTAAGCTAACATCTTTTTAAGCTAAAGCTTTCCTGGATGATGACTTCTTTGTCTACTTTCCATTCCATTGCTATTTCAAT